GTGAGAACGAATTTTAGTTTTAGTTGAATTAAGTAAATCGTAAAATGGTAAGATATTCAGTACATTTAATTAGAAGGTTGCTTGTTTTGCTAAAGTACACTATTTCGCAATTGACCTCAACTCACAAAAAAATAACGTTTATGTTTGAAATTAGCAATGTTTTTATAGGTATTTTTTAATATTACATAGGTGAATGGAGTTATACATTTTAAAAAAAATTTAATTGTTTAAGGCAGTAAGAACAGATTTGGAATTCAGACAATATGGTCGCATGTTCTGACTTATTTTTGTCTATAAGGCATTTTAAAGATTTTTCAATGGCAAAAAATACAGAACAGTGATCAGAAATTTTAAATAAATGAATATTATGATTGGTGTCAGAGACTTGAAATGCTAAACCAGTTCCACCTACCTAAAGGTGGAAAGGAGGAGTATTTTATTTAGCAAATGAGTTTCACTGTAATCTGGCATAATCACGGTTGGTTTGAAAGTCAAAGCGTCGAAATGATGGTTGTAAATTGGAAATCTATTAAGTTTGTGGCATGGTTCTGTTTTTTCTTTTATAAAGGAATCCGCTAGTAAGGAACATTTTCTAGAATTCCAATAACTAGAAGTAAGATTATCTGTTCCTAGATGATAAATACTTTTTAGAATACAGCTGTCAAAATAAAAACTTTTTAGTATTATAATTTCTTTGGACGCTAGATAGTTACGTCTGATGTATAAGGGTGGTTCTTGATCTTCCACTAGAATATATCATGGCTTTAAGACAAATTCTAACATTATATTGCATTTTATTTATGGTATGCAGATGACATCCTGCTGCACTATCATACAAAATACTTCCATAATCTATATTAGGATCAGCACCCCATTTGGTTTTTGAGACACATTTTAACATGTTAATTCCCTTTTTGCATTAACTCCTAATATGCTCTATATGTTTATTCCATAAAAGTTTATTATCTAGATGGGTTCTCTCAACCAGTTCTTTAGGCAATTAAAAGTGTATTTCAAGTCGGTTTTACATATAGTTTAAGAATCTCGGACAGTATAGAAACAGAAATCATTAGCATATTGGGTACATTTTACGTTATTATGTAATAAGCGGTGAAGGTCATGTGCATATATATTAAACAAAATTAGGCTTAAGACCGCTCCTTGAGGTAATCCTTAACGTATTCATCTAGGTCCATAAATACAATACAGGGTGTCCCAATTGAAACTGACACATTTTAAACGTGATTATAGACTAAACGAAATAAGATAGAAATATGCTGTTTGAACCAATGATTTTGGAATCACATTAAAAAATCCAGTTGTAAAGGGCAAGGAAAAAATGAACTTTTTTGTTAATTTTTTTTTTATTGTTAACTAATATTAAAATATTTACATAAACTTAACTAATATCAGTTGTTAGTTTAACAAAAATAAAAACTATATAATGTATACATATATACAATATAATAAATTTATGGTTTATTCGGTAATTTTATAGTTGTGGGCCATATATCTCAAATATTCAAGCAGAATTCTATTCCTGTACTCCGTGAAAAGTCTTAAAATTTATTCATCGGTATCGCTATACTTGTTTTACTTCAATGGAAGCCGATTCCCAGCAATTAATTGTTTATAAGTATATTGACCTTCCTGAACTTTGCGTAACCCATCTATAAATTTCAATATTGTTGGATGCTTCATTCCCAGTTCCAACCTCAATCTTTGATGGACAGCTTCGAAATGGTTATTGGATCTATCATCTCCATCAAGAGTTCTATCATATAAACTCCACATTTCTGGTGAAAGCAGAGGTTCTTTTCTGGCATTTCTACGCCTCTTTATGCGTCAGTTTAGTAGAGAATGCGATTCTCCAGGTAACACTTGAGTGGTTTCAGTCAATTGTCTAAATTATCCATTCTCACAAATGCTTAAGCAATAATTATTTTAGCGTTCAGGAAAAAGTCTGGATCAGTATTATACCGATTAATAAAGCCTAATCCAGCAATGTATTTTCGCATATTCTGCGCCAAATGAAAAAACAACCTTTAATGGAAACATCTAAAAAATACTGAGCCATTGTAACGTACCATCTGCTACCATGTGGATTTCTGTAAATGCTGTATCCATGTTAGACGTCCAAAAATTAAAATTCTATTTGGGCCTACCCCTCTATCACAAAATAAAAAAAATTCTGCTGTATTCTCTGGAAAATATTGAGTATGTGTCTTAGGTAAGATCAGTTTCTCTAAACTTACAGGTGCTGCAGGTTCTAAATTTGTTGCGTTCTTTTACGTCTAACGATTTTTCGTAAAGCAGCAATATTGTGATTGTGGCTTCGGAACCTTGAGTATGGTTTGTTAGATAATTATTAATTACATTTATTGTGCCTTCTACGGTATTTTTTGCTCGAAGTTTGATTTTTAAAATAACTTCTACAACTTCCTATCTCGCTGCCGAGAAGAAATGACAATGGATATTAATGACTTTAATAACTTCTTTATTTTCGGTATGAATTCGTACTTGTTGCACACATCGTCAAAATTTAATTTAAAAAATGTAATTTACCAAAAAGTATCCTTATTTAATAAAAACAATCTTTGTAGCACTGAAATGTCTCGGCACTGAATCGGCGGCCTGAAATATCCTAGACGCTTTAAATTATGGATATATGTAGATATATACTATTCTGGGATTGGATTTTGAATCCAAATCGTTTTAGAACCATAAAAGTATAAATAACTAAATCAAAAGTTTAAAAATTATCAAATAATTAATAAATTTTATTTTGTTAATTTTTGTTGGCATTTTTAATTCCTTGTATTACTGTTTGTCAATCGTTTACCTAATTCTCAATCACAATAATTCCTTTTCTTACACGTAGAGATGTTTTCGTTGGCCTTATTATGTTCTACTTTTCTTAACATAATTCCACTGATTTCCTAAAATATTTTTTGCTTTCTCTAAAGCCTACTCACCTATATGTTCAACGGCGCGACGAATTCTACATTTAACCCACATTTTCTCTTATTCTTAATCCAGCGCAGAAATCTCATCTCAGAAATCTAATTTCTAAAATTATCTTTACTTCACTGACCAAAATTTTAACGCGTTCATCCGAGCACTTCATTCTCTCCCCTTCTTTCTAGTCGTAATGTCTTTATTTAGATCTTAAATTTTTGTAAAATAAACTGCAAATACTTGACTCTCCTAATAAGTAATCATTTTTTGAGTTTGGAAAAGCAAATTGAAGAGTCGTATTTACATTGTAACAAAAATAAAAGCTAGTTGATATTATTTTAGCGGTAAATTTGAATTTGATATCGGTATAATTTAAATCAATACATTTGATTAACTTTATTGGATCCCAAACATAAAGGGCTACAGGGTAAACGAGATTGCAGATATTCATGTATGGAAAGGGGCTCAAATACACTTTCTGGGATCTGAGCAGTTCTGTGGTATCAGCAGTACCACAATATTAGGAATAATAAAAAAAATTAAGGCAGTTAAAGAAGCGATAATTATAAAAATATTTTGTGGCTTAGATAAGGTAATATACTTCTAAATGAATATAATCAGAAAAGACCGAAAGCATGTATCTACCCGAGTAAGAACAGGGAATCAAAGCACACCTTCCACTACTTTTTCTTCTTTTACAGTCCTTTTTTCACTGTATCCTTCAGAAGCCTGCATAGCTGCCTCATACTCTAGAACAACGGACAAGACATCGATCGATGGTTTGTCCATCAACAAATGTTTGGACTGCTAAACATTTAATCATATTTTCTGGAGCTAATGGGTAAGCAAACCGTACCAACCTGGCAATATCTATTTCATACTCTTGAAAAGTCTCGTCTCGTTTCTGTTTACGATTCTTTAACTAATAATCTTAATTCAAATCAAATATAAACTAACTACAGAACCAAAGAACACAAAGTCAGTCTCACATAAAACAATTTTATTCGGCCTTATGCCATCATCAGGTTTACAAAAAGAAGACATTTGTGTTAGTTAAAGGTGTGTGAAGGTTATTAGTGTTAGATACCTACAAAATATAGTATAATGGTATTACAAACTGAGACGTCTCCAAGTACAATAAACAAAAAATTAAAAAAAGTTTGAAGTAAATAAGTACAAAATATTGGAAAAAAGAGGAACATAACTATTTTAGGTAAAAATTAATTAACTAGATAAGGTTTTGTGGGAAATATCTTATAAAAATTGTAGTTGTTTTCTAGACAATGGGACAAGGAGAATCCATTTCAGAGGATTCAACTATATCCAACGTGAAATTGGTAGAAGTTACTGGCACGTTATTGGGATTGGGAAATGGCCAATGTATAGATGAGTTAAAGTAAAAATGTGACATAATTAAGTGGTTTTAAGGATGTAAAATTAGCTGCGGAGCACCATTTAATAGGTAGCAAGACGCACAAAAAATCGTCGAAACAAGTGGTCCCAATGATAGGATATGGAAAAATAGTTGGGAATAATTAAGAGTAATTTTTTGTTCCGAGGTGCAAACTATCATCATCATTGGAATAACCAAAATATTTTTATCACTAGGCTGATAAAAGTACGGTTTGAAAAAATCTGAACGTTATTAGTTTTTAGAAGAAAACCGCGCAAATTAACTACGACTAATCTCATTGTCTCATGGTACAACACAAGATAAAGGGTCGTTTCCAAGTCTGCCCTTTGAGCTATTATGATAGAACCAATCAAAATATTAGTATATATCATGAGTATTGTATATTAGAAAATGTAAGTAAAAATAACTGTTAATAATTAAAAGATTTTAAGGAATATAATCCAATGATAAACAATAAGAAAGTGTGTTTTAAAACAAGTAATTTATAACGAAAATATTAAAAAATTGTAAAAATACAGTGTGTGTCAGTGTATGGTAAAAGGCATAAGAAGAAAAATTTCAATTGGCATGTCTTATTTCAAAAGTGAAATGGTAAATTAGGTTTATTTTTAATATTAAAAGATTGTAGAAAGAGAGAAATTGTCATGGAAAAAAATATAGTAACAATATTGCAAATCAATTTAATGATTAAAGAAGTAGAAGAACCAAATAAAACAATCATCAGAAAAACAAATGTTGAAAATTACATGATAATATCTGTAGAAATGGTAAATTGGTATGTAAATTGAAAAAAATAAAGTTATCTTAAGCTTGAAGCTGTTTATTTAGACAAATTAGGTCTGTGTCAATAATAGCTTTGTAACTTACTGATATTTACAGCGTTGGGTAATAAAATTCAGAAAAATTAAACATGGTTCCAAACAAAGTATATTACTATCTTTCAAATACACTAGATAATTCAATCAAAACCCAAAAATTAAACAGGATAATAATTTAAAAATTCTAAAATAGAAAGGTATAAAAAATAACGGTTAAAATGCTTTTTGCTCTAATTCAAATAGAAATAGGAATATAACCTAGTACAGGATCTTGTGACAGAAGACGTCGTTTTTGGCGGAAGGCACTCGATACGCTTCAACTGCTTTAAGCAAACATGATAAATGAGCTGAAAGTGGCAGATACGATTCATATTCACACCGATGGGTCTAAATCAATACAAGGCTCTGGATGTGGAATATACTTCAGATACTTAAAACTTAACAATAAAATGGACTGTTAAGTTAACAATAATGCCAGACTAGTTCAAACCAAGCTTTGTCGGTTATAGGCAGGTAGGGTTAGGTTTGGTCCAACACACTGCCTCTTGGGTCTATGGTATTACCGTGCTTTTCCCGTCTTCAAATACCATCCTTGGAATATTCCTCAGCCTTTGGTTAGTTTAAATAAGTTTACTACCAAGTGATCCTAAGGCGTTCTTTCTGGTTCTAGACCAAAAATGGGGAGACGCAGACTAGCAAGAGCTTTACATTTTTTTTTTTTTTAAAAGGCCTCTTGTGGGTCTACACCTTCATGCCAAGTTTATTGGAAATCAGTTCATCCGTTCGGACGGTACAATTTTTTAAAGTCGCTCAGAAACCCCTCTTACGAAATTTGACCGAACAAAATGGCGTCTGACGAAATTTTTGTGAGCGCGGTGAGGTAGAGAGAGGCAAAGGGTGTTTAGGAAATATATTAAAAAAAATATTTGATTCTAATAAACCGTCGAAAAACGACAAAGAAATTTTCAAAATGTCATAAAAAAGTGACAGTTGACAGGTTTTAAATTTAATACAAATTCTGGCCACCTTGGATATCTTGAGCATCTACCACTAACACAAACTCCCTTCCTAAGTGCACCCAGTTCTCTTAAAAGGTATCCGTAAGTCGAAAAACACAATTTTGGGTGATTTTTTGCGGTTTCCATGGAAACCGGGAGACAGACTTTAATGTTAATATTTTTTTAAAACGTCTCGTCGGTCTACATTTTCTGGCCAAGTTTCACGAAAATTGGTTCATCCGTTCGGACGGTATAATTTTTTAAATTCGCCCGGAAACCTCTCTTACGAAATTTAGCCGAAATTTCTCTGTACGTGGTCAAAAACCACGATTTTGGGTGGTTTTTTAGGTTATTATGGAAACCACCCAACAGTTTTTGATGCCGTGGGTTTACACCTTCGGTCCAAGTTTCATTAGAATCGATCCATCCGTTCGGACGATATGATTTTGGAAACCCTATTTTAATTTTTTCTTAATAAAAAGAAATATTTCTATTAGGATTCTCATAGGAGCATAAGTTACCAAAAACAATATCACCGAAAGAAAAATGCTCATCTATACAGACAGCGGACAAGTACTACTCACCCTGAACAAAACACGCATTTACTTATTATCCTTAAAATGGATTGAAGGTCGCGCCACATCTTGCTTATTTACTAGTCAAAAAGGCAGTCAAACAAATAATTTTGGAACCAGGTTCTTCATTGAATTGACAACAATGGTAGTGAGAAACCTAATCAAAGAAAAAATTATAGAAATGATGGGTTAAAAAGGAAAGCTACAGAGTAGCCATAACGCTTTTTAGTTATTCCGACAACACTACATCAAAAAAGTTGTTGACTATGACTAAATAGAGTCTGCGCCTGATCACAGGCATTCTGGCTAGTTATTATCGAATACATAAGCAATTTATTCATGGGGCTGTTGGAATCCGCACTCTGTATTAGAAGATTTATGTTTGGCTAATACCGCCGATTTAATAGAAGCCGACGTTGTCAACTATATTAAATCTGTAGACTGACTGATAAGCTAAGAGGTGCGTATCAATTTATGAGGATGCATAATTGGCCAAGTAAAGCCGTGGCTCCACGTGTTGAAGATACAGATACGTATCTAAAAGACTACAAATTTTATAAGTCGGCTTTTTGCGGAACGGTGTTACTTTTGCTATTATTTTAAACGAAGGCTGTATATCAATTGTTTTGTCACGGTTTGGCGTGATTTTTAATAGTACCCCAAAATGCATCTCTGTTTACTCATCTATTGAGTAGGGACTCCGTTCCTCTAATGGATCAGCCACAGCTGCTCAAAAATAGGGAAATTTACGCAAATTTAAAAATTATCATTGTCATACAATACATCCGAATCATAATATTTCTCTTGAATGTAAAAATGCAAAAATAAAATGTATTTCATTTTAGCAAACTTATGGATATTCGGAACCATAGTTTGGGAACGCGCGACAAAAGACAGAAGACCGAGACACCAAGGAAGCGGCAAATATTGCCATACTAAATCTGATGTCGTCTGTGGCCTCTACTGAAATGTGTTTCTTTTAATTACATGTGTTCTGGGTAGCTATTCTTGAATTCGAGGGAGAGAAAACCGTTTTGTCTTCTTTATCTGCAACGCACAAAATTTGAATTTTGTCTCATTCTTTCCTTAAAATTTCTACTCCCCAAGATTCAAGAATAGGTACCCAGACGTGAAGAGTCCGTTTTGGGTCTCCTCAATCTGAGACTTATATTTTGAATATAGATGATATTGTTACGGTTAGCAGGTGCCGTATGGTTTTAATAATAAAGTAAGCTTGCCTTAAATAAATAATACAAATATACTTAGTAATGATTCCTGTATTTTCTTTAAAAAAAGTAATCAAATACCTCTAAAAATCAATTGAAACTAAGTCCTGTCCATATGGTTCAGCATCTAAAAACAAAATATAGATTATTAACAAACGAATTAATAATAAAATAAAATGAATGAATATGTAATTAAATTCGGTTAAAAAGTAAACATTAAACATAACCATTATAGAATGTCAAAAGGTGCTTCAATGACATTAATTATTGTCACCAAATACTTCTTTTATTTATATGCACTGGTGTTGACAATCTTAATATTTGCAAAAGACCCTAAATACAAGAAGTTTCCTTAAACTTCGAACCTTTTCTTTTTCTAGCTTTATTGAGAGCACATGGTCGTAGAAGATCATTTCGTAAGTTTTATGGATTTTTTATAAGATAAAATAAAGAAAACTAAACCAGACTATAATTTATTCAACGAGTGTTAAATATTTCAATTTATTTTGGATTTTTTGACTGTCTAAAAAGAAAAAACCTCTACATATTGCGCACACATCATCAATGGTAAGTCGAGTTAAATTGTATAAATCGAGTTTTCTGAAACTAACATAAAATATGCATAAAAAAATACTTGCCCTATTTTCATTTTAGGCCATTACCCTTTAGTTTACCAAATTTTGAGTATTTTCATGCTGTGTTGGGGCATCCAGATCATGTTCAAGTATTGCTTCTTAGATTCAAAGCTAAGCTTGGCTGTACATAGTTTGCATGACTTAGAATACCGTAGTAATCATAGTAGTTTAGTAGTTTGAATGCTTTCACAGGACACTGCTTATAGGACATTGGCATGCTTATATCTACCATTAATTGCTTTTTCACTGAATCACCGGATGCACAAAACTATGAGCTTTTCTTTATATGTTGAATGGACACTTATAGAACATAACTATAAAATCTTAATAATATTTCATAATTAATTTAGCATTACCTTTTTCATTTATGTGAACGATTGGTACCATTCGGCTTATTGATCCTGTATACTATAATAAATAAATGTATTGCTGCATTAAATAATGATTATTCAGTAAATCTTTAATAAGTCTCTTTCTCCTATTATACTTACAATCTTCTAACTCCCCTAACTCTCCTGGTCGTGGTAGTGACAAATACTTTTCCTTTATTATTTAGCTGGTCATAAATAAAGAAACTTTTAAACTATTTTAATAAAAATATATGAACTAGTTTAGTTAGGGATTCTTACGTATACCAACATTCAATTTTGTATCCAATTTAAACATGGCTATTCAAGTAACTACTGAACCAAGTCATACACTTGCGTCAAAGCTTAAATACTATAATTAATTAAAAATTAGCAATTAAAGATGGACTCAATTAAAGGAGTTGGTTTATGAGTACAATAGAAATAAATCAGTGTCAAACTGTGCCAAATGCATTTTCCACATTAATAAAATAATGGGCAGTATAAAATTAACGTACAATTTATATTAGTTTAATTGCAAAAAAATTATTGACACATACAAAAGTCTTTTTGCAAAAAGTGTACCGAATGTTCTTAACGACCAAGAAAATTTCAGTTTTAATTATTGAGACGTGCATCTTGCCTCATCTTGATACAGCGAAACATTTTAAAATTTTCATCTCTAATTATATTTCTTCATCAGTATTTAACGAAGCAGAAAGTTTTGAGTTAGATCTTTTAGAAAGCCTGGTGTTGTATGTATAAGGACAAGAGGCACGAATTGGCTGACTAATTAGTAGAATTAAGAGAAAATTCAACTCTAATTTCTTTGCTTAAGACATAAATATGAATGTTAACAAGATGGTATAATGAAAATTGTAAAGGGTGTTTGTGAAAGTGTAAATAAGCCAAATTATAATTTTCAGAGAAATATATTGTTTTGTAGAAGGAACTGCGAAAAAAGTTTTTTCGAACTCACGAATATTTTGAAAATATTTGTGAGTACGCAAAAATTTCCAGATAATAATTTAGGAACGTATGGTATTCTATAAGAAAATTTTACACCGAAAAATCAAAATTTTAAAACTTGATTGATTAAAATGACTAAAATCAAATTTGCACAAATGGCCAAGCCATACATATTTTTCATATTTCAAGTTGTTTAGTT